AATGAAAGTGCTGTTTGGAGACAATATTTTATGACATGGAAATACACATAAGTCAATGGCTGATATAAACTAGTTGCTCTATGATTATTAAAAAGGAATGTTTCTTTAATCCAGTCAAAACTGATTAATTGCAGGAGGGTTAACTGAAGTCTCTTAATGTGGGAGTCGGCAAAGATCAGAAAGGCAACTGTGTTGAGACTAAGCAGTTATATCTAACCTAATCTTCTCAGCTAACCATATCTGAAAATTATATAAAAATATAATGATATAGAAGGGAGAAAGTCTCCAAGATTTTAATTTTAGTTTGTGAGGGGGAGATAATATCCATTTCCTAATGCCTAGTGGCCAGTCACTTCCCTTTGGCTGGCATTCCTATTCAGATCCAGGGAATCTTACAAGGTAATAAGACATTTGTGCCAGTTTTACCATGCAAAATGACATCCAATATTCTGTATTTTTTTCCTTCCAGAAATAGCTAATTATTTTTATTTAAAGAGCTGTTTCTTGTGTCTGCATATACATTTTTCTTTATATCAATCACACAGAATCACTGTTCTGCCAGGCATAGTGGTACATGCCTGTAGTCCCAAGTACTTAGGAGGCTGAAGCTAAAGCATCACTTGAGCCTTGGAGTTTGAATTTAGCCTGGGCAAAATAGTAAGACCTTGTCTTTAAAATTTTTCTTTATTCATCATGACATGAACAGGTTTATCACCAATACTTACCGTGTTTCCCCAAAAATAAGACTTACCCATAAAATAAGCCCTACCCATAAAATAAGCCCTATGAGGATTTCTAAGCATTTGCACAATAGAAGCCCCACCCTGAAAATAAGACCTAGTGACGAGCATGGCTACGCAGCCTATCTGCACAACCCATGCATTTTTTGGCCAAGTGGCAAAGAAGATGTGCAGCCCTTTGCATCTGCCTGATCTTGACAGCTACTATCCTAGAGGCGATGGGAAAGGTGCGGGCAGCCCCACCAACAAGGTCGGCTCCCTCTGTCATGTCCTGGCAATCCTGTGCGTGCTGCAAGCTGAGGCTTTTAAGGGAAAATAACACATCCCCTGAAAATAAGCCCTAGGGTGTCTTCTTGAGGAAAAATAAATATAAGACCCTGTCTTATTTTTGGGGAAACACGGTATTATCCAGAATTACTGTTTGCAATTCTGGGGTGAATGTATGTAGAAATACAATTATGGATTGACTTAAATATCAGAGTATATCACTGTTTGGATAAAACATTAACCATCATCATGAGTGTAGATCATAGCAAGTCATATTAAGCAGCATCAGGAATTGATGTAGAGTCATTAAACATTTCCCTTTTCCACAAGCTCAGCAAATACCCTAGGAATTATTCCTACAACCCAAAGGTATATGTAGACCAGTTTCTACCAGGTTGGATCCTTTCTCTGCTATGAGAACCTCACTAGATTCCTTATATATGCTTTCCCTTAAGAAGCACCCTCTTGTAATTAAATAAAAAATACCATACTCCTTCTTGCTGCTGGGATGACAGATAAACCATGAAGATCTCAGCACCAGGATGTGTGTGAGAGAAAGGCTGGCCCAGCAGTAAAGATTTGTGATCCTGTGACCTCACCTCATCAAGGACCACAATCATCACTGCACTTGGAAATATTTTTTAACAATTTATCCTAGTTCTCAAACACCAGAAACGATTACAAATGTCCAGTTAGTACTATCTCCAGAAAAATGGTTGGAGTGATTTAGAGAGGCTACTTCATTTCCATGAGTCCTGGAGGCAGATGGCCTCACATGGAGACAGCAGGAAATGTTGAGGTCTTAGCCATGAGGGAGTCAGAGTCAAATATGTGTCTCATTGGATTTTCTGCTTCCCTGAGATTTCCTTCCATTTAAAAAAACATCTTCCACACGAGTAGAGTTTATATAAAAAAAAAATAAATAAAAAAACATCTAATTCTTTTCTAACGCTGAGATTCCTGAGCTTTCATATCCCTTCTGTATTATGGGGAGAGATAGGAGATGACACAAGGAGACTGAGTATGACTGATTAATGTGATAAGAGTACAAAGAAGAAAATGATGCCAAGAATTGATAATGAAAAATAGGCTGGGTGCAGTGGCTCATACCTATAGTTCCAGTACTTTGGTCAAGCTGAAGCAGGAGGATGGCTTTAGCCCAGGAGTTTGAGGGCAGCCTGGGCAACAGAGAACCTGTGTCTACAAAAACAATTTTTTTAAAGAAAAAGATTAGGTGGCCTATTAGGATATAAAAACATGATTTTAAAAGTAAATAAATGGGGCCGGGCGCGGTGGCTCACGCCTGTAATCCTAGCTCTCTGGGAGGCCGAGGCGGGTGGATTGCTCAAGGTCAGGAGTTCAAAAGCCAGCCTGAGCAAGAGCGAGACCCCGTCTCTACTATAAAATAGAAAGAAATTAATTGGCCAACTGATATATATATAAAAAATTAGC